ACGTTAACAACTGATGACGTACAGGGCTGACATCCCTACATACTAGGAATGCATTGAGTGCTTTTCTAGAACTATCTCTTACCTCTTTTGCGCCATCGGAATGTTCAGAGCTCCCAGATGGGTGGTAAAAGCTCCCAGGTGTTTTCCATGGTCAGTCCCGGTGGCATTTCAGAACTACTACAAGTACCTTTTACCTATTTTGCTCTTTCAAAATCTTCTGAGCTCTCAGATGGGTGGTAAAGGCTCTCCGTTGTTTCCATAGCCAATGCCAATGTTTTTCTGGAGTAACCGTAGGATTCATCGGTATGTCACTACTGTTGGCCTAAGGATATATTCAAAGCACAAGTTTGAGTAGCGGCTGTATGGCTTGGCACTCTATTTACGGAATTTTTTTGCACTGCAGCGGGCTCGTCAGTGCTCTTGCTTAATTAAGCCCTCCTACATTACTTACAACAACAAATATAAATTTTAGTTTAACTTTATTTACTTCTTCAGAAAAAGGCGGTGCAATTCTATTGAACCTATCGATTAGATTGCTCACCATCTTTAGATCCTTGACTGCAAGCGTTAGTTCATCAATCTGTAACTTGCTTTCAAAACTCTCTCTGCATTTTCTACAGATACCTGTGCAATGGTAATAGAACAAACCGTTATGAAAACGATAACAGTAATGATAATTCCGATGATAATAATAATGATGCTGATGATGTTTATGATGATAATAACGACATTTATGATGAAGACGATGACGACAACAATGATTACGAGTAAAATGACTTTCAGTGAAAGTTAACTTTGACATGGAGCTCTTCCTTCCCATGATCGAAAAAATGACTACAAATCTTAGGCAAGTAATACAGAAAGAACAAACTTGGCCCAGCCCGTAGCCGTCAAACCTTCGAGGTACTTAATTCAAGGTATGAGTTCTTATCATCTCTAATCTGGACCTGAGCCAATTTTAAGACTCGCGCAGCCAATAATTTATGTCTACTGAAAAATTGCATTTCTTAAAAAGCACCAATATCTGAATAAATAGAGCACATATATTACACAACAATTATCTTTTTGCAATAGGGTTCATGAAAGCCATACCTGAACCTAGAGGCACAAGGACGTCGATTCTCTGAAATATAACTTTTGATATCGCTCTATTAACGCCTCTGTCTCCCTTGACACATTTTCCTTTGCCGTGGGAAGCGATCTCATCTGGAATTCTGCAGGTATTTTGGCTCCTTCGCCATCCAGTGCCAAGCTCAGAACGGTGGAATGGACAAATCGTTAACGCATTTATTTCCTTTGCACTCATGTAAATAATACCTGCTCGGGCAAGGATAAGTTCACTCTCGTTCTTAACTCCGGCAAAAAACCAAGCACTTTTATGACCCTTATTGCACGACACCAAGGGAACCACCTCAAATGATTTACCCCTGTCTCGTCGGTAGTACGAGCAAGCACTTCCAAATCTAAACTTAAATGAGCAAGAAGCTTCCATTTCATTCACAAGCGAGACTTCCGATTAAGAAGGGGCGGGAAATAATTATTTTTCTTAGTTTAATTAATTGTCTCGCTTTTAAATAGAAAAGTCAACAAACATCATAGTTTAACTCACGCGAAAAAAAAATAACACGAGTACAAAATTGAGGAAAACACAGAGCTAAATGGATACCTAGACTTATTATTTCTTTTCCTCGTATTCGTGCTTATTTATATGACGTCGACCGACCCCACTCGTAGATGTAAATTATTCTGTCACACGAGCACGACGACTCGTACCACAATTATGCAAATTAGGTCACGCAAGCCCTCACTTAACTCCTGTAGGGGCCTTTGTAAGGTAACATTTTGTGGATTTTCGTTTACCGTAGGCTAGTTAAAAGGTACGGGTTTGCAAGTCAAACAAGGGGCAGAAACGTAAGATTCGTATGCGAGAGACCAGCAAAGTTTTTAATCGTATACCGTTACTAGCACTGGTGCATAATCGTACTAGACAGAACGATGGCAGAGTATCTCTGCAGAAACAAACTTAAAATGATAAAAGACAGATTAATTTAACAAAACTGGGTATAAATTTGTTATTTGTTTTTGATAAAAGTTCTCCTATACGATTTTGAGTAATTTCAAAGGCAGGAATGCTCCTTAACTCTTTGGTCAGGCAATCTACATATTGCGTGATTTTATTTCTTCCGTGTGCTATTTTGAAGAGTTTCCTGCGTCGCGAGAAAACATTTGCCCAAAGAAAACTTTACGTCATTTTAAAAATCATACCTTCGGCAATTTACATACGTAATTTAGAGGAATTCTGAATAATGGCACATGGTGAAAAAAGAGGTTTTCTTCACCGACATTTTTTTGTAACGGAAGAGAGCACATTGCTTTTTCGCATGGCTAAAAGCTTCTAAGCAACCAATTCCTACACAACTTGCATTGCATTGCAACTTGCATGCAGAAGACGAGGAGTCTGTGAAAGAGCAAACGTTGATAAGATTTCACTAGACGTAACATCTTTGAAATGCAAAGCGAGCGAAAGTGTTCAATTTTCGACCTGTTATGACCCGATCCATCGATTCTAGAGGGTGAGAGCGAAAAGTTCGTTTTTCTCGAAAATAAAAACATATTTGAGGAAAAAAAATACACAGTCTTTCTTGTCTTACTGGGGGTCAACTTGTGTGCAAAAGTTGAGACAATTTCAATTTTTGACCCTTGCCATAAAAATTTCATTTTTGTTTGATTTTTGCACGGATGTCCTCTTAACACGTAACTTCTCTCTATGATATCCATACATTATCTTGCATGGAGATGGAGAGCATCATCAATGGCTGTGAGATCAAGTGTGATTTAAGTCCATGGCATCCTTTGCTTGAGGTATTTTAAACCAAAACCAGAAGGCTTTTTACTTGAAAGCAATAAAAACCAACAACAAGGTTATCACAAGGACCTGTCAGACCAAATAATAAAAACCCAAAGAGGCAATGGACTCTCAAATTGAACACATGCAAACTGTCTGCTATGCTGGAAAATGCTCACCACCTAGTCTTGATTAGTTTTAATATAAGCTACTGCATTTGATTGATTGAGAGGGTGTCCATAGTATTATTTACCATTCATTGGGTGAAGTATTAGGTAAAACCGGTGCAATACTGGTTTAATTTGGATGCCAGAAAATCCTACATCATCCTCTTTACCGTTGTTCTCTTAGGAGAGATCAAATGAGTAATTTATCTTAACAGAAACAATAAATCCATAAAGCAAAAGGTGATGAGAGTAAAGAAAATTATCTACCTTTTGATGAAGGGATCTTTAATGTAATACCTCCTTCTCAGAACTAACATTGAAAGAAATGTATAGCAGATGGTAAGGAGAACTTACACTACGATCCAGGGTATATGGGACCTACAGTAGTAGGTTTTCAGAACGTTTTGAAAATGCTATGCCTGAATGCTGGAAGAGGCTTTCTGCTAATTTCACTGTAAAATAGTTATTATACTTTTAAGAATTAAAACTACAGGTGTGTGAGATATTATAAGTCAAAATAACTAAATCCAATATTTATCTCCTTGTAAAAAGTTTGGGTGAAATGTTTTCCATGTATATATCCATGTTTCTATTTCTTGTGAACATTTTCTTCAATAGGTTTGTTTCTAAATTTTTTTAGCTAAAATTGATGATATAACATTTTTCAGGCTGTTCTGTGCTAAACTTTCTTTGAGGTTTTTCCCTAGTTTACAGGCTACTTATTTATACGCATTAAGTAACTGACGAAACAGTATTTAGGACCATTGTGACTGCTCTCACAAAATAAACTGGCTGAGAAATGGAAGTCATGTGAAAGGTAATATTAGATCATAAGTCAAAGGGCTGTTCCTGCCAGAGCTTATCCGGCTTTTATTGTTGTAGAGCAACTAAGGGCCTGTTATTTTCACCAGGGCCTCAAAGAGTTTTTCCGTACTCTGCCTCCAGCCCCCATTGGGTGGTATGCCAATCTATTGCAAGGTTAGCCCTTTGCGCCCTAAAATCAGTATGGATATTCTCCACACTGTTCTCTATGTGATATCCGAAAGGGTAAATAAAGTTGTAGAGTAGAAAGAGCGTAGAAAAGAGGGCACCTATGCAAACGGGCGATTTGGCGGAGAGACAGGATTATATTAGTTACGGAAGATTGTTATATCTAAACAGCAAGTCCAAGGCAGTTATTGATAAGTCCAGAACTGTGCATCTACATCTCACCGAAAGCAACTAAAGACAATACACCAACAAACTAGTCCGCTTTATTAAAGTATCGTTTCAATTTTCATTTAGGCCACAAAGCATAACTGTTCCTTTCCAAATCGATCCTTTTAAGGATATTAACGATACAAATGACAATCGAAACGCAGGGGGGAGAGATTTTGACCCGTCCACCTCTTCCTCTTATGCTACACCTTCTGAAATTGTAGGATAATATTAGAAAAAAAGTTATTGGCTAATAATATTTTCTACGACTCAGTAAGCGAGTTGGACAACTCTGTCATCAGACTATTTGAATGCTATTTGATATGTCGTTTTACATGAAAGAATGTTTGAACTCTCAAATTTACCTTTGTAAACTTAATAGAAAGCATGGCTAGAGATTGATCCAGGGTAAAACTAAAGTTACACGCGCATATAAGTCCCTATCCGAGGGGTTGTGCTTGAAACAGGAAAATCTGTAAAGAAAAAATTTGACTTATTATTAGTTTTTTAGGCATATTTATTGGACCAAGATGTATCCCATGATTTTGATGTGTTTGTCTCCATTATCTGAATAAACCACGGCCTCGTTACCACACGTGTTTGAATCGTCATGGTAACCTCCTCTGCCAAGTCCAATCCCTGAGTCGCGCGTGACAAAGTCATTCTCGTTGTTGCTAACAATACCAATTCTGGCTTTAGAATGTCCTTCCCTAGTACAAACGGCATTGAACCCTTCTTTGTTGCAGTTTACCTGTAACGAGCCTCGGGAACCAATCAACTCTTTCCACTCGTCACGACCCAGTGACGGTGGCGCGGTATTGGCCATCAGCGATCAGTGAGTACAGAGAGTCAGCTTGCTTGTGGATGACAATGAACCTGAGCTGTTGGTGGATCTTCATACCGAGAGAGATCCTGGAGAAGGATGTGTTCCAGTAGGTGGGTAGCTTTGATTCTTGTCCGTCGAACCCAGTTTCTCCTCCGGGAAGATTATATACTTGGTAATTTATCCAGTAATCCGCCTTATAATGGAAGGTTGTCTGAAATAAATGAGCAATTAATTTCCTTTTTTTTATTTACTCCGAATTAATGGATATTTTTTGTCGAAGTCCTGTTGTGTATCTGAATTTATCGATCAATTACTCATTTGTTTTACCGATGAATTGACCTTGGTAGTTACGACATGGTGTCGTAATTACCAACGTCAATAATACCCAATAGTACCCGGCGCCGTAGATCAGTGCATGATATATGTATCTAGTTATAAGGAGTTTTTCTGTGTTTTCATTTGCACGTCAATTAAGATTCATTGAAAATATAATCATTTGTGAAGTGAATGAAGCATGATAAACGTTGCTATTCTTTAAAGAAATTCTGATATCTTTGTATATAGAAAAAAATTTGAGTGTGGTTGTGTCACGATAAAATCATTGGCAAGTTAAATGGCATTAAATGTTCTATAGTCCTCCAAGAATCCTTCTCTACCTATCCCCCACCCTCCCCGCCGTTTAGGGGATGAGCAATGACAACTCTTTTAATCAGCGTGATATCTACACATCAATTAACTAGTGTGGAACTTTAACTACGATAAGATACGTTCTTTGTTCCGTACAGCTTTTAACCAAACTATGACCGTAATGGTGTCTATTTCCTATCTAGCTGTTACATGATATTAGAGACAAATATGTTAGCATATATTTATAAATTATTTTTCATCCTTTTTCAACAGTCACTACACACAATAAGTCCTGAACGAAGTCTGTTCTTCATGTATTACCTTCTCGATGCAAAACAAATGGCATACATAAGTAACATGCACTTTTTTAACTTGCAACGTTTTGAAAGAGAGCAGGTTTTTACACGAGATAATTAGTTAATTAAAGTATGCACCTCATTGTCGGCAATCTTCATGACCGGCGTCCATCCTCTGTCTCCACACCCAAAATTTCCCATGTGACAGAAAACGGACAATGGTTGGGAGTCAACAAGAAGGGTAACCACACCACTCACATTGGATCTTTTGAATCAAAATGGAAAAAAAAAATATATATATATATACAACTAATAATGAAAACAATGATGGTGAAATAAAACCTGAGCTCATAAAAATAACTATCATAGCTACAACGGTGGCAATAAAAATGAGAATGGGAAAGATACAGAGTGATAATAGTAGTTATGATTCAACAAATAAGCAAAGGAAAAGTTGATCCTTCAGACGTCAATATCTTCAGAATATAACCACCAGCCTTCGTAACAACAATGCTCGGTTATTTGTACTGGAATCAAACAGGTGTCCGAGGGCAAAGGTTATTTTTCACTTCTTCTATGATGACAGTAATGCACTCAACTGAAATGAATCAAGGTTTAAAGGAGGACTTTCCCCGCATATGGAGTGTGGTTTGATAATTGGGGTACATCCCGTGAGGTAATGGGCTTAAACTATGTGCGGGCAAGTGCCATATTTGATGTACTATGAAAACAATATCGAAAATCAGTTCTACTTGCATGGCATGAATTTCTTTACACGAAGAAGCTCCTGCAAGAAGTTTAAAAATACCTTTGATTAGAAGAAATTGTAAACTTGTTTAAGCTACATCATTGGCAAAATAATTTGACTGCAATCTGGCTTGGCAGAAGAATTTTATCATGTTCCAAGCTCTGCTTTTTGGCTGGAAAGAGTTCTAAGTTTTCATTTACTTTATTTGGCGGCATTTATGTTTCTCCCTATGTAAGGTAACCCGAATTTTGGAGTTCAGGACATTTTTGCTTGTGTAATCCGGTATATTGGCCAATGGAATCCAGAATCCAGCTTTTGGAGTCCCAAATCCCGCTAAAGAATGAATCTAGTATCCATTTGCTGAAAATCCATTTCAAATCGTACTAGCGGCTCTCACGCGCATCCTTGCAACCACGGTCATGCCAAAAATTTCCGACTGCTATAGCTCGCGAGACAATTACGAACTCATTTATGACCTATCACCAAACTGACTTCGATACTGACATGACTAAGGTTCCCTACTAGCCCATTATCAGTCTCCTACTCCTATTAAAAAACCATATTTCCTAATAAAGTTCGATTTTAGCTTGCAACACTTTCAGTATGGTAAAGTTCTTTGGGCTGTTTTGTGAAGATCCTGCTAATCATTTGCTTCCTTCATACAGCGCATTCCTTACCTCTAAATCAGCGTCACTTTCCTCACTAATTACATCTGCAAGACATCATGCCAGGTGGGGCTAATCTCCATGAATTCGAAAAACTTGAGCCTGGAATTTTGTTTGCTAGGTAACGTGAGCTCGACATAAATTCGTACAATTTCGTCATTTGGAGTCCAAAAATTGGAAACAGCTCCAACGTTACCAAAAGAGTAGGAAAAAAGTGTAAATAATCACAATTTGAAAAAACAAACAAACAAGAATATTACTCTGTCTGCACGGTCTGCGCGGTCAGCACACAATCTCATAACGTCGAACATCATCGCCAGCTACATATAGGAAAATAATTTACCGCTCAATTTGCTGTAATATTTATTGCTATTATCAAATCTTGTTATGGAAATATGAATAAACAAATATGCATTCACAAACATATCCTTCAATAACGAAATCCGCCATTGAAGTCATTCCTAGAAAACGACGTGCGAAAATTAGGAGCAAACCAGAAACTAAAATCTGTAATCTTTAGTGTTTTGGAATCCGAAATCTGCTGAAGTAGAAACCGGAATCCACAGCGTGGAATCCACAATCTCATTCTGTCCTGGATTACCTTATATGGGGCGATATGTTTTCTTCAAATACATCATTGATAAGAAACAGCGTCGGGAGAGGATCGATTGTTGTTATCTTAATAAAACAATCATGGATACTTTCATCCAGTATTTAAAGTCTCTACCTTATTGAAGGCTTACCAAGTTTATTACCGGTTGTGTTTGAAAAATAATTAATTGTTGCAAAGAACCATAATTGGGCATTTAGTTTCAACTCTGGCTGATAATATTAACGGTATAGGCTGCGACAGATGCCACCTTGTAATTTGTGATTTCACTTGAAGAAAACATTCAAACGATTATGAATCATCGATGGATGTGTTTCAGAAGCACTTACCGCTAAACTAGTAAGCAATTACTTGATGAGGTTGAGTATGATATCTTGAATTATCAAAACCGAGATCTGAGTTGTCTTCTGAAGCCAAAAACGGGGGAGATCACGCAGACACAGACTCAAGGTTTCATGAATCGTGATTTTATGCAAAAACCGAATTCAGTAATTTTGTCTTTAGAAACACCAACAACTGTAAAAACAACAATAAATGGGTAGGCCTCCTTGTTTTAAAAGAAAGTTCAAAATTAAAAAAAATCAGCCTCCTTAGCACAATATTCTCAAAAGTAACGCTTACCCTCGCATTCTGTTCCACTCCCAGTGAATCCAGGTTTACATGTACAGTTGTAAGACCCCTTGGTATTGTTGCAATAGGCATCAGGGCTGCAAGAGTGTGACCCTGCGACACACTCATCGATGTCTATAAATATAAAGCCAACGAAGAATTGACGAAAACATATAGAAAGTTTTAAAAGGTCAGCAGCATTACTTGATATTCGTATTTGATTTGAACAGCATTAATATTTGTTGTTGAGAACATCATATAGGTTTCTGTAGCCATACGACAGTCTGTCCAACAAAGGATGAGTGAAACTAAGAAACAGTGATCAGTAGATTGATTCCATTTGGTGCAAAAATACTTTGGTGATCAAGAATAATCTTTTTCAATGTAATTTCGGCTATATATGTCTCTGCGCGCGTCTAATTTTAACATATATTCTCCTGTTGAGGGGATCAACATGTAAGTTATCATCCCTTTGTGGATAATTTGCAAATATAAGCTTTATTTTTTCATCACATTATTGCTAATGAATCCAACGCCTACCTTTACATTCTCGTCCACTTCCGGTAAATCCATGTTTGCATGTACAATTGTACGAACCTTGAGTATTGTTGCAAAACGCATCAGAGCTGCATTGGTGTAGCCCACGAACACATTCGTTGATGTCTGAACAAAAAACAATTCACAAATATATAAAAACAAAATTATCGTACAAAAAAAAAAAAAAAAGGACCAGCAACTGTAAAATCAACAATAATTGGGTAAACGTAGTTTTTGTTTTCTCATGACCACTACACATCAATTTCCCTTTTACAGACTTAAAAAAATGTATTCAAAATGAATCGATCAACAGCCACCTCGTAAGTCACAAGCAGTACAGATGAGCGGCGAAACAGTCATATATTCCCTCTGTTTTTGATCCGGAAAGTTCTACTTTTTGCTTTTGGCTCATGATTTTACTATTATCTCTGTCCACTTTCAGTGCAGCTCAGAAAAAGATATGTGAAGACGAATAAGGAGAAGGGAGATGACGAGAAAAAAAAAAAGACCAAAAATCAAAAATTCGCCATTTAGTTGTGTTGGTGAAGAAACTGCGACAAAGGCCTGTTGTCCTTCGGTTCTTACTGACTAGTAAGAGAGCTCTAAGCTACATGAGGATAGTAGAAGCTTTTTTATTCTTCGGGACCCAATTAACAAGCAACGCGGTAAAGTTTTTCCTTGTTGTTAAACTGAAGGCTTCAAGCCATCAACATTGAAGTTGTGTATACCTCTTTCGCAAATCAGACCCTCAAATCCAGCGGTACAAAGACACTGATAACCTTTCTTAGCAAATCCACTTTGACAAGTGGCATTGTTCTTACAAGAATTTTGAACACAATTGCTCTAACAGATAAAACAAACCGTTGTCATTGTCATTATCATTATCATCATTAAAATCATTTTCAACATCTAATAGTCAACTGCACCGCTACCATCATCAACATCGTCATCGTTATCCTTGTCATCATAGTTCTTCTGCTATTTCTATATTTCTCCAATAACTTTGAAATGCTTTCTCTTTGAGGAGATTCTGGTTAAGAGCACAGACACAGTATTACCGCTAATGTCTTGAAAGAGGGAAGGAAACTCAAGTTCGTAATTATAGGTGAACACGAGACTCAGAGTTAAAAAAAAAAAAAAAAAAAAACCACTCGTATTCTTAAATCGAAAGATACGTTTACCTCAGCTGCGTGATAAGAATACATCTCTTGGTCTATCAACTTTTTTTCGTGTCCTTCATGAGTAGCATTGTTCAGTTCACATTCATGGTTTCCATTTCCATCTCCCCATGTATAAAGATTAATGCTGACACAGTCGGGCTCCATATAACACAAGTTTTCACAGAACTTGGAAACTGTTATTTCTACGGTGCGAATTGTGTGGTTTATGAGGCGTTTCCTTGAAATGCTTTCTCAGGCCCAAACTCCAAATTACCACACTGGTCTGCGATACAGACGTCTTTGAAATGGAAATGATAATATATTAAACGTAACGTTATTGCTTATGATGAAATGTTAAGAATTTCGGAAAACTTGGTAGGCGACAATTCATTATCAATTGTATTTGACTTGAATTTTTTTCTTCGTCTATTTTATTTCTACACGAAAAGGGATATACAAACCCTCGAAAGTGTCACGGGTGTTATTATGAGAGTATGTCAACTCAGGCAATCACTGAACAGCTAGGGTCAGTGGAGGAAGACGACTAAGGGGGTTCAAATTCATCGGCAGAAGTTTTGTCATCGTGTTTCGTTTTGTAGAATTCTTACCTAATTAATGCACATTCGCACACGAAAATGTCATACTTCTTCAAAGTACTATCTGTGCGTTGATAACTGAATATTTTAACGACAATTCTTAAGTTAATATAGGTGGATAAAGCTAATTTTCTGACTTGATGACGAATTCTTATTATTGAATAAAACGTTTCCTAAAAAAAAAAAGAAAAAAAACACCAATACTCGAACCAAAGGTAAATCTGAATTGGATATAAGTCATACTGAAACTAACCTTGTGATCTGACAGCCCTTTGTATCATAAAGCAAAGCTCCAATAAGAGAAGGGAGACAGAAACAGAATACATGATACAGATAACGATTAGAAAAGTTCTGGTCAAGAAACGAATTCTTTACTTAATATTACTTATCACGACACGGGAAGTTTGAAACAATGGAAATTAGGCTAGCGCTGGTTTAACCAATAGCAGTCAAATTATTTCGCATGTCAGCTTTTGTGCCTTAGTTTCTACCAGTAAAAATGTTTGTTTAGAATGCTGCTCGGTTCAGCAATAATTTGCCTGTCAATTGCCATAATTAAGTTTTGTCACATCCTTCTGTGACTTGACATGCTATCATGAAAAATTCATATATAACAGTTATAATTATGCAGCAGTGTATATCGTCAGCAAATTCACCTTCAAGAAACCTTTCATGTCCATACTGTCGTCCCATTTCAGGAATGATAAATTAAATTTGTTAAATGATAAGCACAAAAAGAAAGAAAGAAATGTCTTAGGTCATGAACCTTCCTACAACTTTATATTCATAACAAAATCTGTAAGATGTTTAGACCGGTAAAGCTCGCAAAAGTTCTGTGTCATAATGTAATTGACTAAATTGGTTCGTCGTTAAAAATGTGTGCGTTAAATAAATGGATAGATGTAAACCTAATTTGTGAAAATGAAGAATTCATTTGATGGTTTGCTGGGTTATCGTTTTTACACATGCACAACAGCTGGCATTGTGAAACTTTGCCAAATTATCATGCAACCACTGTTTATTTTGGTGGTGGTAAGAACTTCCTGTGTATCATGATATTCGTGATGGATAAGTTTTGATTATCATGCGGCCTTGTTACAAGCTAATTCAGCCAATTCACCTCTGCGACACCTTTCATATCCATATTTCTGTGAATATTTCCGTCTTCCTCTTTTGTTTGCTGAAAGATATGTACAACAGCTGAGATTGTGATGCTTTGTTGAGTTACCATAGCGATGTTTATTTTGGTCCTCTGGTAAGAAGTTTCTGTGAATCATGTTCCTTCTCCATGATTTACTGCTCCCGTCTGGCAATATCACTTATCGATAAGAAGCTTTTAAGTAAGTCCATTATATTCCGATTTTGTAACGAGTAGGAAGAAAAAAAAGAAATAAAAAGGTGGGTTTTCAATTATCATAGAGTGCCATAGAAAATTAAAATGTGTTTCCGTTTATGGGAAGTTACTTCAACATCGTGGTGGCGCGCACGTTAAAAGGACGATTTTTTTTAAGTTCAGGGTAAAATTGATGTAGATAGTCTTTGAAATTCTGGTACAAATCCTAGTTGCCATCCTAGTCACTACCCTTTATTAATATCATTACCTGCAATGAACAAAATCAAGAAATGTATCAACATTTTGAAGAAACGAATATTTTTAGCTATTCGTAGAAATGTTTTTACCAGCAACTAACATTCTGAAATTTTCAAAAATAGTGCATATCATAAATTTGTTATTATTAGTATTATTACTTTTTTCAATTTATTTCTTTATTTATGGAACAATCATCATCGTAGAATGAAAAGATATCAAGCAGGAATCAATAGCATAAACGAGGTAAGAGAAGGGGCCTTCACATAGTTTTAAGGGGTACTGTAGGAAGTGGGGAATTGAGGGAATTAAAAAAATAACAATAAATGACAACAAAACGGAAGCTGAAAATACGGTGACGAAGCAGTCCACTATAAGTGTGAAACAGCAGTTTTAAACAATACAGTTCACGAAAAAATCATCTAAAAGATTCCATTTAGGTTCGATAGTCTGTAACTTTCGAACTTTCGTCGGCCATTTCATTTCACCGATATGGCTGAGATTTAGCATAAAGTCTTGTTTTAGGGTTGTAATTACGAAATTGATATAAGAATGTTCCAACTGTTTTTGCTTACGAAAAGAACTGGAAATCGCACTTGGTCTGCCCATACTTGCCAAAATGGCGGATCGAGGGTGATCTTTTGACTTCAACTCGAGTTCTATCGAAAAGATTCCTCAACATTTCGTGATAGTCATAAAAATATCGTCCCCTCCTTTTAATATTTATTACAAAAAATATGGCAAATATCTGGTGTTAACAAAATTTTATCCCAACGTTGTAAGGTCGTTTCAGGCCGCTTTGAACAATGACAAAATTTACCCCAACTTAATAACCTAATATCTCCAGTATTGCCTCGATTCAGACGTTACCATTAATTATGACCAATGTTTGTTCATAGGTGAACAGATTTCACGAATAAAAAAATGGAGAAAATGTCTCTGTCGAGGAAAAAATATATCAGCCCGTAATGACCTCGCTATGTGTAGGACCTAGGTCCTAAAAGCTCCTAGATCAATTCACCGATCAGAAGAAAACGGTTTAAATACACCTTTCGTTCAGATCGTTTCCTAGTAATTTGGAACCATCTTTCTTCTTAATACAAACGTAACAATGTTGAAGCGAAATTATCACAACGGGATGATTTTTTAATCACTAATTGAATTTAAACAGGCACTCCTGCTTGAACCAAGACACGCGCAATTACGCTTAGTATAGTTTATTTTGCCCACCGTTTTGAGAACGAAGGATTTTGTTAAAGAAACATTCTCATCAACTCTGATATACTTTTGCTGACAGAAGCTAGTCATACAGTAAATGCAAATTTATGACCTAAGGAATGACCTAAAATGACACAAAATGACCTAAATGACCTACAATGACCTTGAGTGATTCCTAAAATGACCTTAGATAATCTTGTATGACCTTATGGGATGACCGGCCGGAGCAGATGGGATTGTTCATTTCGTTTTGCGGATTTTACGTGGTTTAGCATTTGGTTTTCGGTTTTCGTCAAAAATTGAAACGGTTTTTCCAAAACGCTCCTTGAAACGGCCATGAAAGTGACTACATGGGGTATTTAAGCCAAAAAAAACAAAAAAAAAACTCTAGAGGAGCCAACGCTCTATTTAGTCACGGAGACTTTATTTTGGCTTGCCCAAAATTTCTAATTTTGCCGGTGCCGCAAACTCAAGGTCATTTTAAGTCATTTGAGATCATTTTAGGTCATTCCTTGTTTAAGTAACTACCATATTTATCATGTTTGATAAAATATGTTGGTTTCTTTGAGCTGCAACATTAGAAAAGTTATCGTTTCTAACAAAAAGTCAGACTTCTTATTACGGTGATTATTTTCCCTTTTTATTTCCAATAGAATGATGTTACTCAGGTGTGGTTTCTCGAGCTTTGCCATATTACATCGCGTCGAGCGAGTGCATATCCCTTTCATGGTGTACTCTAAACATAAAGGCTCAATTACGAGGCTTTAACATCGTTGATGCGAAATTCAATTACTGTGGGCTAAAGCAGGTACTGAGGCGTCTTTTGTGCTAATGCGTCGATCAATTCGAAGCAAGTTTACTTTCCCTTCCCCCCCCCCCCCCCCCGGGGCATTCGAACTTTTGAAAATTCTCGCCCCGAAAAATAGACAAAATATGGTTTCAACCAAAGTGTAATGGAATCCGATGTATATACCAGACACTGTTATGGTGTTAAACTCGTCTTTTCTAGTCACCGGCCGGAATATTCTAAAAATTGATGTAATTTATATTTATTTTGTATTTCAAGCTATCTTCAGTTTGATGTTGGAAAAGGACGAAATCACGATATGCCCACCTCACCGAGAGGCTTAAGGCACACGTTGGGTATGTAGGAGTAAAAGATGTTCCATGCCCCCAAAATTTAGTGGCCACACAAACAAACTACCACCAAAAGGAAACAGAGGGCTTTCTCTAGGGCAAACCAAAGTTCTTTATCAAGAGTTGGCTGCCATTATTTCTATTAGCATCCGTAAGTTTACTCTTGATCTGCCCAAAACTAACCAAATGAAGATTTCATTGTAATTGGGAGTTAACATGTTTAATTGATGCTTTTTCTATTGCTGTAGAGGTTGCTGTTACGAGGCTAGCAGATATTCAGTTTTTTATTTCTTTCTCAACTAGAGAAATTGAGGATGTATATGATACTTTGACAATGATTCCAGCTATTTGCAGAGAATGCAGGAAAAGAATAAGATTGCTAGCGAACAGAGGGCGAAGTGAAGGAGACTAACTTGAGAAAGGTGGTGGTCGTACTGATAACGATGACGATGGGAGGAGTGCCAAAGATGTTGGCGATGTCAATATTAGTTTTAACGAGGATGATGGGAACCGTGCTGATAACGATGACGATGGGAGGTGCCAAAGATATTGGCGATGTTGATGTCAGTAAAAACGAGAATAATGGTGGAAATACTGCTAACGATGACAATAGGAGCGATGACGAC